GAGCGGGCACCCGGCAGACTGCCTGGAGAGCCGGCAGATGCTGCACCACTCCGTCTCGTACTCCGTGGCCCCTCCCCTGTCCATGAGCTCCGCGGCCGGCAGGGGGGACCCGGGGGGCTTCCCCTGCCTGCAGCTGCACCCCAGCCACCCCCACCACCCGCACCACCACCACCACCACCACCACCACCACCACCCGGACTTCTACTGCCCCCCGCCCCCGCCCCCGCTGGCAGTGCCCTCCGCGCAGGAGAAGGGCTCAGCCGGCGGCGGGCGCGAGCTCAAAGTCACGGGGCCGACCTTCGTGCCTTCGGTGGGGCACCTGGGCGACAAAGCGAGCGGGCCCTTCCAGCTGGCCAACCCAGACTGCCGGGGCGGGGGCGGAGGCGCCAAGGACAAAACCTTAGACAAGAACAACAACAGTGGCAGCGGCCCTCCCAGCAGCTGCCAGAGAAAGCAGCATCAGCAGCAGCAGCAGCAGCAGCAGCAGCACGCCTATGGGAAGGCAGACAAGGCTCCCGACTGGCTGCAAAGTAACCATCAGCACTTGCAGCAGCAGCAGCAGCATCACCCCAGCGCCCGATCGCGGAGCCTGGAGTGCATCAGCAGCGCGGACTTGGACCTGTTCAGGCCCTCCCTCCCTCAGGGGGCCAAGGGCGGCCCCTCGGGAAAGAGCGGCCCCTACGTCAGCACCCCCCCCTTCCGGGACTGTTCTCACTCAGGTCCTCCCACCTCGCAGCCGTCCGAAGGGAAAGCGGTCCCACCGCAGGGCGGCGGCGGTGGGGCTGGGTGCACTTTGCAGCGAGACGGGCAGAAAGTGGCTCGGATCAGGCACCAGCAGCACAACCGGCCCGGGCCGGACAGCACTTCCAGTGAGTTGGCGCAGGGCAGCAGCGGGCAGGACATGAAAAGGAAGCTGGAGTTGGCGTCACTTGGGTACAGCATCAGCGGGCAGCAGCAGCAGCAGCAGCAGCAGCAGGCGCTGCCTTCCTGGGCAGCGCGAGGGCACCAGGCGCAGGTGGAGGAGGAGCAGAGGAAAGCCTACCTGGACTCCTTCAGCAGCAGGCAGCAGGGCCAGCCCCAGCAGCAGGGCATGGCCTCCCAGAACCAGCAGGAAACTGGGCAGCAGGGCAGCCAGGGAGAGAGCAGCGCCATGAAGAGCCTCCTGAAGTACAGCACTCAGCAGCAGCCCCTCCTGCTGTCCCAGAAGAGCCCCTTTGGGGGCCTGGGCAGCCTGAAGACCGCCGGGGGGGGCGGTGGCGGCGGCGGCGGCGGCAGCAGCTGCGCCCTGCAGGACGCCAAGCAGGCCCTGCCCCCCAGGAAAGGCCCGGCCAGTGACGGCGAGAGGTCGGACTGCAGCGGGCGGGGCCGGGAGGCGGGCGACGCCCCCCACGGGGAGGGGGAGGTGCGGCAGCCGCCCGTGGGCATCGCGGTGGCTGTGGCGAGGCAGCGGGAGCCGCCCTGCCGGCCCCTGGATGGGCACCCTGGCCACAGCCGGCAGGGCAGGGTATTACCGGCCATGAAAGGTGAGAAAACGCGGCCCTGCGCTGGGCTTGCGAACGAGCGGCGAGGTTCTCGTTTTTCTAAGAAGGGGGCTAAGAAGTGCGGAGCGTGAACTCGCGTTGTGTCCTCGGTCCTCAGTCCCGGCGCATGACTGCTTTAGGTGAAAGTTAAGCGATTGTCTCAGCCGAGCCCGAAGCACATAACTGCTGCCTGTTTCAGAACAAGTGAACGCCCCACGTGAGAGGCAGGGAGCTGAAGGCAATGGAAACTGGTGCTGCTGGCTCATGCCCTGGCTTCATATAAGCTCCCAAAGTAATGTAATAATTTGTAAGATCGCAGCTGACTTGCAAGGTCTTTGTGTCCCGTTGCGGCATCGAAAACAAATTCCGCCCGTTCCTTGTTGTTTTTTGTGGTCTTTGTCGATCCTCGTTGCCTTCTCGGTGAACTTTAGACCCGTGTTAGAAAGCCATGCCCCGGCTGAGCCGAGTGTCTCTCCCTCAGGGGTGTCCCGCTCTGTGTTCCCTCTGGACCCGGACAGCGAGGAGGAGAGGAGGAGGTTGTGTGAGGACCCTCTGGGGCTGCCCTGCCTGGACCGGGAGAGAGAGCTGCTCATCAGGTCTGTGAGTCTTCCTGGCTGACATCTCTTCCTGTTCTAACGTTCACCCCTCAGCTTTTCACCAGTTAACTGTTTCAGAGCCTTTTGAGGATTTTTTTGTGGTATAAGTACCTCGGTTTTTAAAAAATTGTCTTAATTGCAAGGCGTTCTAAATTGATACTGTCTCTTAATGATGCAATCATAAGCGTTGATGGAAGTATGAAGTTCCGATAAAGAGTTTCACAACTATCCCATACTGTTTAATTAATTAATTGTTCTTTGTATTTAAACCAGAGACAACAAAGATCGGGTGGAGTTTGCCAGAATCCATCCCTCCAGCAGCTGCCATGGTGATCTGACCTCTCACCTCATGGTGACAGGTGGAACTTCCTTACAGGCCAGCCAATTAGGAGCTGACCCAGCAGCACATGCCCATCCAGCTCATCACCATTGGATGCCACGGACAGGAAGTCCCTCCTTATGGATGACGGGACATTCCTACGGTCAGTGAAGCAGAGGGGCGTTGGAAGCAGTAGTGGTTTACATTTGACACACAGGTGTTACGATCTGTAATCGGTGTGTTCCATGTATAAACCAATGCCTTGATGCCCAATGGAGGGGTGCAGGAGCACCATGCTTGTGTGGAATTCTGCAGTATTGAAGCCTTGCCCCCTCTGTCTCCGTCTTGTTATCCTGAACGTTAACTGTGCTGTCTTGTATTTCCTGTCTGCAGGGATCAGCCATGCAGCTCTGCACCAGAACCTACCCCCTGGCTTCTCTGCAGCCATGCCCAGCCCCCTGCAGCCCGTCCTGCCCATGCCACAAGACCCTCCCACGCAGCTGGTAGTACTGCCCACAGAGCCGGCTGCCCACCCCGCCACCCACCACCTCGGTACGGTGCCCTCTCCTGCTTCTCTGTGGCCTGCTTTCACCTCTCAAGTTCTGTCAGGCAGCAGTGTAGTTTCTGATCATGTTTTCAGCCAGGAGTGCTTAGGGCTTTGTGGTTTCTTGTCCGTTGCATGGTTGGATTGGTGTGGCCCTTCCAGCTGCTTTAGGGGCCAATAAGATTGCTTTTTGAGTAATGTAGGGTTCCTCATTATTACTGGCATAAAAGGAGACCATTGAACTATGTTATATACATACTGTGCTCCTTATTCTTGTATATTTTAGACCTCAGATGTAATTAGATGAAAATCTTAAGCAAAGACGGAGATGTCTCAATTACATGTATAACACAAAGAAATCTATTTATATTTTGATCATTTTGTTCATTAAGTAGAGTACATATCCTCGTGTGAGTTCTTCAGGCAGTCCATTGTAGATCTGCTTGCATGTTTAGGATCACTGTCCTCCTGCATGACCCACGTTTGGCAAAGCAGCCCCAAACCATGACTCTCCCACCACCATGCTTGGTGGTCAGGATGAGATTTGACTATTGGCAGGCAGTGTTTGGTTTTGTCACAAAATATGTTTTTTATTATGGCCTGAAATTCAGCTTTTGATTCTTCTGTCCAGAGAACATCCTTCCAGTAGTCTTAAGGACCTTTCAGGTGCTCTCTAGAGAACTTGAGATGGTGAGCCATGCTCTTGTTAGAGAGCAGCGGATTCTTCCTGGTTGCCCTCCCATGAAAACCATTCCCATTCAGTCTTTTCCTGGTGGCTGAGGTATGAGCCCTGACATGCAGTGAGAGAGGCCTGTAGATCCCTCCGTTACTACAAAGGCCTTTGTGACTTCTAGATGATTTTCCAGGCTGTTCTTGGGAAGGTCATGGATGGATGACCTGTTCCTGGTGATGCCACTATAGTCTTGAACATTCACCATTTGTAGACAATCTGACAGGGTCATTTAGAGATGGTTTTTAAACCCAGACAGGTGAGCATAAGCTACTTCTGATATCTAGTCCTCTGAAATCTCTTTGGCATGATGTGTTGCCACTAACATGTATGGCGAAGACCAGACACGAAACGTTTCTGACCAGTAAAAAACTCCCTACTGATTCTATTTACCCCTTTAAATTGTGCTTAGTAAGCTAGGGGTTCACGTAGCACAATCAAACATTGAATTTGCAAATGTAAATCCATTATCCTGGTACTAAATAGGGTATAGTGGCAAGAAATGATCATTTCCATAATTACACTGAGGTTTCACTGACTTGTTCTGTGTTCTGCAGTACTCTGCATGTCTCCCTGCTGAACCTTACGAATGAACAGTTCTTTGGTTTGTGTGTGTGACAGACCACTGTAGCAGACAGAGTTAAATGAAGCCATGCAGGTGACAAAAGCTGTGGGCACTTGATGAAGAAACACAGCAGCCCGCTGTCCAGGCCCTTCCTGTTGACTTCCCACCCTGTCCAGTGGGATCAGAGCCTGGACTGAGTGGAAACACTGTGTAATCTTCCTGTGCCTCTCGACGAAAATAAAGGCAACTGACAAGCGGGGGGAGATTTAACTGATCTGTAGTCTGTGCCTTGTCCCCTGTATAGCAAACAGGCTGTGAAATTTAATTAGTTTTTAGTCTTTAGTGGCGCATTTCCTTCCTCGCTCTGTAGGAGTTCCAGTAGAAAGGGGAAGTGCAACCGCAGAACCCTTCCCCAGGGAAACATTAGCTGAGTCAGGGTAATCTTTTAGAACAAAGGTCCCTGGGTGCCACTTGGGAGAATGGAGGGGGTTGGTGTGTGTGCATATGTGTGTGTGTTGGGGGGGGGGTTGTTGCTGGAGGTGGATTGGTTTATGTTCAGCATGCACATTAATACATACTGCGCACAGCTGTGTGCTGGAAAAGATGTGGGCTAATTCTCAAAGCTGCAAACATTTTGACAGCTGCTCTTCACCTACGGCTCACACAAGCTCGCCAGCTGTATGTACTTTAAAAGATGTGGGAACTGGTTTATCTGAATGCCTGCATGCCATGACCTAGCTCTTGTGAGGGAGCTGTAGAATGGCACTTATTCTGAAGAGGTGTAAGATACAGCCTGTTAGTAACTCTAGTTGAAAAATTGGGTTTGCTTTCAGCTGGGGCCTGTTTTATTATTAGTAATGTTATTTACGCTTTATATTGTCACTGGCCTCCAGTGTGCACATTGCAAATTGGCAGAAGAGACAGTGCATATCAGATGTTGCTGTGTGGATGACCAGGCGTTCACAGAGGTGTGCAGACCTGTTCTTTAAATAGCTGGGTCTATCTCATTAAAGCTGTCCAGTGGACCCTGACCCAGCATGTCACGGTGTGCGATTGGCCTCTCATGACAACAAGAAACTGGCTGATGTGAAAGCGTGAAGGTGGTCCTATTCCATTTTCTTTTCCTCATTGTGTTCAATCAAATTTTAAATCGTTTTGTTCCCCAATAAGGTGTCTCCTCAGCTTGATGGAGGCTGGGAATGAAGTCTTGTATCGTATGCAAGATTCACAGTGGCCTTGACTACAAAATGATGTGCACTTTTTGCCTTTACTTAAGAGAACATGTATAAATCTTGAAACATAAAACACATACAGTAGCTGACTTCCTACAAAGTCATTTTGAACTTTAAGACTTCTCTGAAAGGAGAGACAGCTAGTGAGAATGCGGTACAAGCACACTTAACATTGGTGAGAGTGTCAAGTTCCATTTGGTGTCATACACTAGATTATAATTGACTTCTAAGTTTAACAGTGCACTTTTATTCAAGAGCTAGGAACCGTGTTTAACCCATGCAACTGAGCACCAGATGATATCAAAGCAGATTTCCGTGGCTTTCTCTCCGAAGCGTATTTTTTGCGATGTTGCTCTCCCTTTGCAAGGTCGGGTTAGAGTGGTGTGAGGAATAAAACGTGAACGTTGAACTCCCGGTTTGTCCCCGATTAGGTGGCCTGACTAAGACGCGCACGTTGAGTTCAAAAGCATTTCTTTGGAGGAAAAAAAAAACAGTACAAGGCTGCGGGAAACCAAAGCACCACGTTTAGAGCCAAAATCAATACCGGTCCTCGGTGAGCGGAGCAGGACCCGGGCCTCTGTGTGCGCCCCTGGCCCGGGGGCAGACTGTGCCTGACGAGACCCTCCTCTCTCCGCAGACGTGATGGAGCAGCCTTCGCTGTGGCCGCCGGTGTACGGCACCCGAGGGCCCGCCTCTCACATGCAGCACCCCGCCGTCTATTCCCGCTCCCAGTTTCTACGGCAACAGGAGCTCTACGCTCTGCAGCAGCATCAGCACCAGCAGCAGCAGCAGCAGCAACAGCAGCACCACCAGCAGCAGCAGCAGCACCAGCAGCAGCACAGGGCGGCGCAGGCTGTGGAGTTACAGCACAGGCACAGCCACTCCCAGGTGACACAGAGCACACCCCCATCACGCATAATCGACGCCTTATTGTCCACTTTCCCACAGTCGATACGAGAGAGCTGCCGACACAGAGCAGAGCATTCCCCAGCCGATGGTGTAACAGACATCCTAATTACTGCATTGTCTGACTCTTGCACGCGATACAGTTATTGCACCTCCAGCCAATAACGCAGACGAGACACTGTGCAATTAGCACTCCCACAGCCAATTACATAAAGCAGACACCGTGGAATTACGGCAACCACAGCCTTTAACACAGAGCACTCGCAGCTACTGTCAAGCGACAAAGCGGCCAGGGCAGATGATTATTATTAATTTTTTTTATCCTTGCTGTTGTGCCCATTTTTACAGTTGGGGGTTTTACCAAAGTAACCTGAGCGAAGTACCTTGCTCAAAGGCACAACCCGCTAGGATTGAATCATCAGCCTTTCCAGTGACGGGTCCACACTGGTGTTCATAATGCACAGTCACTGTCACTGTAACGCGACTTTCAGAACTAGAACAAGCACTCTAAAGGTTTTTTTGCAGTGACTTCTGGTTGCTGGCAGGAGCAGCGGCCTCGCGTTATTGTGAAATTCTATCCACACAGTGATACAATAAACAGACACTGCAATGAAAGATGCCAAAGTTCCCGTTCGTTTCCCCCAAAACAAGTATCAAATAGCAACTCGTTGCTTTGGCAGTCTGTAAAGGCCTCTGGCTTTGTGCGACTGTTTTTCTTCAGGGAAAATTTAACGCTGGGAACAAAATGACATACTTGTAGTGTTACAGCAGTAGCTGTGAGGACAGAAACGATGCTGGGAGCCAGCAGGCTGTAAGTCATTGTCATATTCCCACTGCAGTTCGTCATTAAGGTTTGGTTGAAAGACCAGCTCCCATCAATCTTTCTATACTGTATATGGACCTTTTGTCCAGTCTATCCCAGGGTTCACTGCGCCAGCGCCCCTCCTTCACAACCACCATGGCAGCCACTCCTTGGTCATAGAGGAGGTTCTTATGACCTCTTCCTCCTGGCCAGGCTGCTGTCCCTGAATACCCAGCAAATCAGCCTGTCGATGAGTTTTGAGTCTTTAGCTCTTTCACACTGGAGTTGGAATGCATCTCAATTTCAGATTGAGGTGTGCACTCAGATCTAAAAGGACTGGCCCATGCCAGCCTATGTGATATGCTTGTGCTGCCTTTGAGGTGTCAGTAAGACACTACACGGTACTGAACCGGGGGTCTCGTTTGAATCCCTGTTTCAATGATCTGTTCTGCTCTTTCAGCGGAAGGCGGAAGACCCATCCATGGAGCTGGACAACGTGCTGCCCGAGCCCCGGACCCCCAAGACGTCCAAGCCTTTTTCCTTTGCCCCTTCCAACAAAAGCGTCCCCTCCCCCAGTGCCTGTGGTGCCAGGCTGTCCCCCTGCTGCCGTTCTCCCTCCCTGCGCCCGCACCCCAAGAGCACCCCTTGCACCCCTTGCCCTGCCCCCAGCCCTGCCGCTGCTGCCCCCCGCTCCCCTGCCCTCAGCCCTGCCCCTCCCCACGCCTCCAAGGGGGCAGAGTCACAGGACAAGAGAGGGGAGGGGCAGCCGCCACAGGATTACCCACAATCCCTGGAGCCTGGTAGGTCCACCCGCTGCTTCAAGCTGAACTGCGATGTATCCTGTTTACTTAAATAAAACTGCAGTCAGCACCAACTACAAAAATCCCATCTTTTTCATCTTCAGCCTCATATGAAAATATTAAGTCAATATCTTGGTGAACAAGTCATCCGTCACACGCGCAATCTGTTTTCTGTGAGTGATTGCGTCTTGATTACTGCCTCAGCTCGGCAATGCTCCAATGATCGCGTTTCTTGACTTGTCTCTCTATTGTTTTCCGACTCTCTCGATAGCTTAGGCATCGTACAAGTATGTTCTTGCATCTACCTGGAGGAATGTTGTCATCATTCACGATAACGTAGCATTCCCTGGTTAAAGCAAAGATAGGAGCAGGTGTTGGAAGTCATGCTGCTTAGCGTATGACTTGTATGGAATTAGAGTAAAGACAACATCTCCTGAACTGTCGGGTTGGGTCTATCTGCACTGAGACACTGAGGTAGTTACTGAAGATGTCAGTTTCTTTTAAGAAATGCCCTTTCTTCATAACAGTTTGTGCTTGTTTGCAAGTGCTAATACAGGAAATTAGAGTTGCAACTTCTTTTTCTAAGCAGAACATTTTTTTTTTTTACTGCAGAGCCTATGTGCGTAGCTCCCGTAAGTTCATCTGAATCCTCCTGCCTGCGATACAAAATTCCCATTTCTTCTGGCGTCTCCACACGCGATCTCTCACTCTTGCCCTGTTTACCCTTTTCGGGGTATTTACATGCGCAGCCGAGATGTAAACAGCCTAATCCAATTAGGATTTGCTCCGACATCTAATTACAGTGAAACGTGAAATCTGGAAGGCTGCCAGGGACGGTCTAACAAAAGGTGCGATAGTGAAGAGCTCTACAGGGACAGCCCTTTGCCTGTAGACACGTGTTCTCATTGTGGCGTCTGAGCCACTGTAGCTCTGCGCTTGTCACCATCTCAACGCTGCACTTGGGCTCCCCAGATGCCCGCCTGCTCATTCAGAAGCAAGACCATCTATCGCTTCTTGTTGCAGGCGTTTTATTTTAATCCATGTAGAATGATCTTCCCTGGGCTATTCATCCCCATTTAGATTGGCCTGTTCTTATTACCACTGTGTCCCTACCGTCTAGCCTGGCGGGGCGAAGGGATCACAGACTCATCGACAAGACGTTGTCTTGTTTGTTCTGCATACCTTCTGCAGATGCTGTTCCTTCAGCTTTTAAAAAACCAGAGGATAGACTAGCACATCACCTGATAGTGGGGTCTCAGGCAATGATGGTGGCAGTCAGTGGTGGGCACTTTACTATACTATATTATACTATACTATACTATACTATACTATACTATACTATACTATACTAAGTCCTGCCAGTTGATTTTACAAGACTCTGCTTCCTACAAATCCTGACCACTGTCGTTGAGTGGTGTAGCCTGAAACTGAATGAACAACCTTAACGCTTTACAATCCATCCTGCAGGTCCGAGGCTTTAGAACTGTTTGTCATCTTAAAGCCTGAGAACATCCCACATTTAACTGTTCGCCACAGTAATGTGTGCCTGCAACACTTCATCCTCACCTCTCCAGCCTTGTCACCTCAGCAATTAGTAAATAAATACCCTCTTCTCCACTGCCTTGGACCATCTGCCTTCTTTTTAATTACTAATGTATGGCAGGCTGGCAGGGAGGGCATTTTTAGCATGCCAGAGCAAGGAGGTGCCAGGACATAATTAAAATTAAAGGCTGCTTTATTTCAAATAACACATCCGACGAGCCCGTGTCCTCCTCCCTGGGCTGCCGGCACTGTTGTCTCGTCCCAAAACAAAGTGCAAGTAATGAAAGCTGGAATGTCTCATTACAATTCTCAAGGTTAGGCCTTCAGTAGTGTGCCCAGCTCCTCTTCCCTGGAGAGACAGAGATAAGGGGAAGGTTAGTGACAGGCGGGAAGGAGAGAAAGAAAGGCAGGGGACAGGGACAAGGCGAGGCAGAGGGTAGTGTGGCGACTGAGGGTTTTTACGCACCTCCTGCTTTCGGTGTTTCGGCTTCTTTTCAGGTGATGTGAGAGACAGTTTGAGTACAGGTCATGTATCTTAATGGAAAAGGAATGCGGGGTTGTTGCATGGGCTAGGGTGTTTTGAGCTATCTAGCTTCACCGCGTGCGGAGTGTGTGTGTGAAAACCAGGAGGCCGGGGGGGGGGAGCGAGTGAGGGAGATGGAGAGGGAGGAGGGGAGGTCAGGGAGATTGCAGACGGGGCCCTTCTTATCCTTCAGGGGTCCTTGAGCAGGCCGTAGCGGAAGGATACGCATTCATCTGGCGGTGTTGTCAGGGGGGCGGATGGATACCATCAATAACACGGCTCATGGGGGTGACAGGGCCGGCTCTGCAATCACACCCAGACACCACAGTGTCATCAATATCCAGCCTGGGCCTTGGCACCACAAGCACGCACAACTGAGGCATTGACGCAGACATGCGCTCCCCGTGAGCAGCACTGCAGAAACACACACACACTCAATACCTCAACACGCCAAATAATGCATTTCCATTCCCACAGAATGCTAACATATTTTCAGTCAGATAATAAGGGAATCATAAATATGCAGAGGTATGAGTGAAGAAAGTTTCTTTGTTCTGTCCATGTTTTGCCATGACTTCATCAATTCAATTACTATTTATTACAAGTTATGAAAATCCATGTTAAATGCCGTGAAATGCTCATTTTCCAGTCCGTGTAAATATGTTTGAGTGGTGCATGTTTAATTCATTCAAAAGCTCAGATTTGTTTGTCTTTTTGTGTTATTGTAGACCTACCACCTGGATATACTTATCCTGCCATTACCATGGGTTACAGCAGTGGCCCCTCCCCCCAGGATGTGCGATTGGCTGAGCCAGCAGACCTGGAGGCTGTGCAGGCGGAGCCAGCTGAGCCCACCCCTCGTTCACTCTCCTCTGTGGGGGAGGGGCCTGAGTGTGAAGAGGTCGTGACCCCTATGAGGACGTTAGAGGAGGAGGAACCAAAAGCTGTGGAGCCTGGGGGGGGCGTGGAGGGGGGAGGGTCTGTGCCCTGCTGCACCCCCCCTGAGCTGGAGCAGGGCAGGTTGTTCACCTGCACCGCTACTGAGGACGAGATCTCCGAAACCCCGGTGCCCTGCCCCTCTGCTCCCACTTCTCCGACTGTGGCGCGGGACGTGGTAGAGGACTCTTTGATATGCAATGAAGATGTGGGCTTGGGAGAGGAAAGGCAAGGGAAGCAGGAGGAAGAAGGCGAGAGAGAGGCGGGCTCGGAGGAGAGAGAAGAGGACCTGGCTCCGGGCTGCTCCGCTGACATCCACGCCTCCGACACGGCAGACAACGAAACATCTCTAGACCCTGGGAGAAAAACTCCCAGCGAAGCCTCTGTGGAGCTGCTGAGCAGCCCCTTGCCCACCCTTTCCTCTCCACAATCCGGTGACCTCAGGCACAGTACCTCGGGGGCCTGGGTGGATTCCTTCTCGCTGACAGAGTGGCCAGCCGTGCCCAGCAGCAGCCTGGAGCTGCTGATTGCTGCCGCCCTGTGCGCAGAGAGAGACGACCCTCCCCCTCCTTCCCCAGCCGGGCTGCCCCAGAATTGCCCAGGAACCCGTGGCATGGAGCTGCTCAGTGAGCTGGCGTACCTAGAGCTGCAGCAGCATAGGAAGAGCGTGGGACAGAGCCAAGGTGAGCCCGAGCCCTGGGTGGACAGTCTGAGACACCCATGCAGTGGAACCAGAACCGAGAGCCAGAGTGTCACAGGGGTGAAATAACATAGGTGCTGAGACAGTTCCAGCCAGGCTGGGAACTGCTTTTGGTTGTCTCTCGTTTTTATGATTTAGGGAGCAGTTAGAAAACGCTACAGTAAACAGTTAATAAAGACATGCGAGATGTTTTCTTCTTTTGGATGTCAGTTAATGAAGAAAATTGGTTGGTTTTTTTTAGTTATTGTCCTTTGTTTTTGTGAAGATCCGTTTTCGTAGCTAGTATATTTCTGGGAAACAACTTCAATACCATTCCAAATGCAAAAACATCTGTAAGATGTTAGAAGGGGAATAATAATAAACTATAAGCAAGTCTAAAAAAATAATGAGTAATTTCCGGTAAAGGGAGGCCGAGCTCGATGATCGCAGGTTCGAGTCTGGGGCACGTCACTAGACATAAGTGACCAGGGTTCTCAGCACAATTGGCTGAGGGGGGAGGTGGGATTAGTTGGCTTGGGCTGTCATCGGCACAGCGCCCCCTGTGGTCTCTCAGGCAACCCACAGCCTCATGTTGCAGCTCTCCTCCAGCAGGGAGCTGTGCTGCACGTGACGTGTTAAGAGGCGTGGATGGAAGGTGGGTGGGGCTGAGGAGTCTGCTTAGTCTTGCTCATTCTCTCCCGTGTGCGGTGGCAAGGTTCATCGTTGTGAGCCAAGATGCGGGAAATTAAAAATCGGATAGGCAAAAAAAAAAGAAGATCAAATCTATCATCAAAAATACATTTGTGTAGTCGTACATTTTGTGTATTAAATTGTATGGAGCACACAAACATGCAGGCCTTCACTTATGGATGTCTCAGGTCAAATGTAGAAAGTTTCATGCTATCTTCAAATAGCTGACTCCATCTTAAAACAGGGAAACTGTTAATCCCCCCGAAATTGCTGTTACACATTTGCTTACACCCCAGTAAAATTGGAAGCATGTTTCTCCTTCAGGGAGTGTGGTCTTGGGAGCCCAGTGACCAGCGAATTTCCCTCAGAGATGAGCAGCAGGGTCAGTGTGCCCCCACACTTGCCAGTCTTGCCAGCTGTGCCGCACAACCTCCATCTGTGTTTGAATTTGTTGCTTTTGTTGTGTTGTTTCCCTATGAAAATGCTAGAAGAGTTGTCGTCAGTGGAAATACAGAATTCTGTTCCGATTTTTTTTCTATTGCATGAAGACCTGGAAAAGGCCAGGGTTTGAAAACTGGGTTTCAGCAGAAGCAGTTTACTGCCTTTGTGCTTTTGGGAGATAAGATGACAGCCTTTCCCCCATCACCCCCTCCCCCCCCCCATGTCCACGCCCGTCCACTCTCCTCCCCTGCAGTGCAGACCAGACCCTTGGCTGCCATGGGACTCTGTCACTGCAGTGACCCAGGAGTTGAAACCAGCCTCCCCACCCCCTCTGAGAACAGCCAGGCACTCTCCAACTGGCTTCCTTCCTGCAGTTCTCACAGACACCCGCCTTCACAAATCCAGAACGCAGTTCTGCGTTACCAGATGATGGATCAAATGTTCCCCATAGCCTTGTGGGTTCAATCCTACCCCTGGAGAATCTGCGTAGAGTATGTTTTAAGAAGTGTTTGGACTTGTTTGAAAGAGTAAGAGAATATCTTAAGACTTTCTAATATTAGATCCTCCTCTAGGGTATACTGAATTGGACCCCTTCCATTTAGTTCTGTTTTTCTTTATTTTAGTTCTTTTAACCTTTTTGATCAACCTAATAAGGTTTTGTTTTTTTAACAAAGGCCCCGGCTGTTTTCTTAAACTCCTCCTGAGAAGTATGGTGAGAGTGAAATTCATTTAGTTGAAAAAACAGATGATGTTTCATTGACTCATGAGTATTAGCTTCCTAATTAGGCTCCATTGTTTAAAATGCCTTTAAAAGTTTTTCTATTCAGGGGCATTGTTTTCTGAATGCAAAAGAAGGTTTTTATTTATGTGAACATCCTGAAGCCTTTTCAGTAATCCCCAAAGAAGCTTTTTTTTTCATGTAACAGTGTTTGTTTCAGACTTCTTTCCTGTCGTTTGGAAGTAAATCTTGTGCGCACAAAATAGAGATCCGCGAATGTAAAACCGAAAATTCCCTTCCCCTGTCCACGTTAAAAAAACAAACACAGAACGGCCAGGACTTAATTATTCAATTTCCAGACAAAAACACAAACCAACATAAGTAGATTTCACTTAATGTGTTCCATAGTGAAAAATCTCTGCTCTACGCTTTGGCAGTAGACGATTTTAATCTGGGATTTTAGTCTGTGTGTTCCTCACCTCAGCGGTCTCTGTGCTCCTCCATCATGCCCCAGAATGAAGTACAGTCTCCCCTGAGACTTCCCTGGTCCTGTTACCACAGCTTTTAATCATCCTGCAGCCTCCCCTCCTTTCCTACGGCTCTCATGATGTAATGGTCTCTCTCTGCTCAGTCAGCTCAGCTCGCTTGGTCTCAAGAGCTCTGGCGCTAGGAGGAAGGCATTGATCCTGGCCAGACCATAGCTGCTAATTCAGGAGAGGTCATGTCAGCCAGGTGAGGAAACTCTACCTGGCCAGACGCTGACATCACAGCCGACTGGCATCATCGGACCTCTCCGATAAAGGACACACGCAGCCCTGACCGCACTCCCATTACCCTCCCCGGAGGTCTGTTCAGCGCAAGAGCAGAAGTCGGGCCCACCCCACATTTTCAGGTTTTTGTCTCACCTTGACCTGTCCATGAGGGCACAGGGGCTAAAAGCTAGGCTCACATACCACCAATACATTGTTTGCTCTGACTCTGCCTGGGATGTGCTCAAATGTTGTTGTTTTTTTTCAATCTTGCCAGTGAAAAGGGTTTCAGGGTTTCCTGAGCTCCAGCAGTTTGGTAGAACAGTTGTGGTCAAACAACCCAGCGCTTACTTACTGCTTATTGTGTCTGCTCCCTCCTACACGAGGGTCTGTGCCCATTCCCGATTGTGCACTCACAATGCAGGGGGAAGTCCGTTTTTCCTTCTCATTTTTGTTCCTTTCTTTTTGGGTTACGGCTCTGCAGATTGGACCGTTTCCACGTCAGCAGTGAGGGCATGTTTGAGAATAAATAGATCGCTCAATAGCTACTTTGCTCCCACAAGTCCGTCCCTCCTCTCTCTCTCTCTCACTCTCGCCCTCTCTTCACTGCCTGACGCCGCAGTCAGGCTGGAGTGATTGCAGAAAGCTGAGAACATAACATGCCTGTAATTCAGCAGAGCGCTGTATAATCTCCGGTGTGTCCAGGGGGCCAGCCTGGGCTGCCATGAATATTCAAGGCTCATTTGATTGCTGGGCCTGTGAGCGAGACTGCTGTCTTAATGACAGTGATAAATGCAAAGCAACCTTTCTCTTGCAGGGCTCCTTGCTCGCTTGGGTGAGGGCACACAGATAAGCTCCTAGTTAATAGCTATCATCATTGTTGACTGTATGAAAGAGATGCTGAGGAAACTATGCAATCAGTGTGCCCTGCGTCGCTGGCTTGTGTATGAATGGCTTCTACTGACTGGCATCAGTTTGCGCATTCTGACTTGTGCACATTTGCTTACAAGCTCAAGTCACACATCCGTGGTTGCGAACACTCTCAAGCGTGTTCACGAAAAACCTGTTCTTGTCAGGCTTTGTTTTAAGGGAAAAGGAAAAAAATAGAGCAGGAAATCACACATTTCTCGTTTGTTTAATCCCATTAGGCGACACAGTCACAGAATTATTACCTTAGGGAGACAGTGATGCATGAAAGTTTCGGTTTTCTGCCTGCGTTTTAAACATCTTTCTGAAAGTGTTTTGATGGATCGAGATAAATAGCAATGAAAGCTTTGTTTAAGAAAAAAAAATTAATCCCAAAAACCATGCCTTTCTGCATGCGGAAGGGCAGTGGCAAATTATGCAGTTTAGAAACATGTGGGCTTTTTAACAAAAGCCAGCTTGCGGCACTCAGTAAATGTTTACTTTCCCGAATTGCTGTGTCCACCCCACCTCCTCAGTCCCCCCCCCCCACAGCTCTGGGTGTCTCCTGGGGTAATTAAAAGTAAATGTTTTCTTTGTGCTGTACAGGAGAGGAGCTCTTGACCTTTGACCTGCAGAGCCTGGCCACCCTGGCAGCGGCGCGGTCTCTGGAGCTCAGCCCCCTGGAGGTGGGCAGGCCGGGTACGGAGCGGCACTGCCCGGTCCGCCGGGCTCTCAACCTGCGCAGGAAGTGCAGCTGGACTCCGCGACACGAACCGGTGAGCACCGGAGTGGCACAACCACGACGATAAAGAGCGAAACTGTGCACAACGAGAAACATTGAAACTCTGATCTAAATACCTTCAGGCATAGGCACACTTCTTTACACTATATATATAAAAATCAGTTCAAAACCTTTCCTAAGTCTTCAGTGGACTTCAAAATCAAAAGCTCCTTTTAGATAGTGGAACAGTATCTCTTTGGATCCACTACAGAGACCGAAAGTGCTGGTGTTTCCCTTGGATTCTCAGGCAAGAATCACCTGCACGCCCTGATCAGTTCCCCTTTTTGCACTGATCCGCCTTGGGAAGGATTTTCATGTCATTTCGACTGTGTCAGCACCCTGAACTGAACAGCCTGTCTGTCCTGCTCTGCGGGGTCAGTGTCGGCCTGTTGTGTCGCGTGTCCGAGACTGCGCCCCGGGCTCTGACGCTGGCTGTGTGTCCCCTCCCCCCCCCCTCCAGGTGTGCCCGGTGAAAGTTGCCATGGAGACCATGGATGGGCAGGAGCTAGCCATGCGGGTCAGGCTGGCAGAGCTGCAGAGGCGCTACAAGGAGAAGCAGAGAGAGCTGGCCAAGCTGCAGAGGAAACACGACCACCAGTGAGCACAGCTTCCCTGTTCTAGCAAATACAGAAAGGCGAACTTGTCTGCTGTTCAGCTGAGGGGGCTTTGTCAGAGTGTTTCAAATTGTCCCCTGACAATGCTTTCAAGTTGGGAACAAACACGTTATATACATGAGCTAATTGCACATGGCATGGTCAACAAGTAACTCCTCACATCTCCAGACTTTGCCACCGAAGGTTTTCCTTGGTATATCTGCTCCAGTAATGTTGCAGTGAGGCCATGGTTTTACCGTAGTTTCAGCAGGCCCCACAATGCTTTACTGCAGTGGAATGGGAGAGTACTTCTGGAAATGTAGTTAACACTATACCGAGAAACTAGAAACATTTATGTGGTAAATCGTGGTATTCCTGTGGTTTGTTGTAGTAAACTATAGTAAAATTGTTAGTAATCCCACCAGAAAACTGTGGGGAAACCAAAACAAAAGAGCTAAAATGCTATAGTAAATTTACCAGACCTTCACAAAGATCCATTTGGGATTGGTTTTGAACTGCTGTACAGTGCCTTGGGTTCAGCTCTCACCTAAATCTGCTATTGGAATCTCTGCTGGATCTTTGGAAGTGAGCGGAGAGTGCTATGTCAGTCGGGCGGCCCCTCTTCCGGTCCTCTGCTCAGACTGTCCCAACTCCCCACTCCCCCTTCCAGGAAAGAAGAAACGTCTCGCAGCCCTGCCCGGCGCGGCCCGGGGCGGCCCCGAAAGCGGAAGTGTGCCCCGGGAGGGACCGTGGTCACGGCAGAGGCCCCAAGGAGAGTCAGGTGAGTCCCTGCGCTCTGAGCCGAGAAAGCCGTGTTCCTGCCTGCCCACACGACTGTTGTGTACGAGGACAGTGAAATGACCTGCCACCATTGTTATAGCTCTTTGGACTCTCCTTTTGAATTTAAGAGCCCTGGTGGCATGTCAGGATGTGCACATCACTGTTGTTCTTCTAAAGACGGACAGGAAAGCAAGGTAGTGCGAAGGGAGATTAGTTGTGTGCTGTTTGTGTTCCAGTTTTGAAATATTTAGCTGGTCTCATTACATACCAGCTGTGGACTGGGAAGCCCTGATTCATGGCTGGGCTTGGCTGGGTAAGTGATCGCCGCTGTAATTGCCACTAAGGAGGCACGACAAGCATCGGTGAATCACATTTTACACACTCCCCCTCCACTGATCGCATTTAAAGATCAGGTCATTAAGGAACTATGGATCTGTGCATCTAAAACAGTGGTGTGAGTGAGCGCTTGCAGCGCACTTAGTGTCTCTAATCAACCAGAATAGGTTTCCATACTCTGTTAAACGAGAGTAAACAGGAATTAAAATCGCAGGGCTTCTCTAAGTGTGTGCATTCAGAAGGAAGATGGGGGCACCTAGAGGTGTCATTCTCTGTGTGTGACTGGCGAGTTCACTAAACCCGCTACGCGCGGGAAGAGGCAGCTCTGTCTATCAGGAGCGTTTGCTTGCCAGTAGCTGATTGATCACGCAATCTCAAGCCGTCGTGTCTTGAAAGGTTCCAGGTTATGAGATTCCACCATGTGGTGGTTAGCGTGCTCTAGAGGCGCGCGATTCTCATGCGTGAAGCAGCGACTCCGGGTCTCAGTCTTAAACCCGTTCCTTCGCCCTTGCCTCTTGCGTGTTTCAATCAATGCCCGTCCCGCAGAAAGTCCTTGACTCAGGGTTTACTCGCTTGGTTCCTGAGCAGTCGCGGTGATTTTTAATGCTGCGAACGAGTGCGTTGGCGCTGCAGACAGGGCCCTCTGGGAAGGGCACAGCCAGTGTGTCAGGGCAGGGGAGGTCCACAGTAACGCGTTTCTAAGGAACTGCTTACCTGTACCCCCCTGCCTGTCAGGGGCGGCACGTCTCCCACAAAAACCTGCTGAGTTCCGGACGCCAGTCCCTCTGTGGCCCCATGGTGATGAAAGGGTGATCACGTGGATCCACGGAGCGGAAGTAAATCTGCTTGTCAGGCAGAGCTTATTGTGTTATGGGAACTGGACCTAAAAGTGGGTTTTCTGGACCGAACTGTATCCTTCGCAGTTTATTCCTTTTTTTTGCGCACAAATTATCCGTCAAGTTTAGTTGCACGCTTTTTTCAAATTAAATTGCAGGCTGTTCTGCCCTGGCCCAGTGCTGTTCTTCACGCTGCCAGTGTAGGGTGTCTGCGGCAACTCTGAGCATCGTTAGGGCAGAGCTCGGCACAGAGGGATTCGCAGGTGGCAGCGCACGTCCGTTCTGTAGGAACCCTCATATTCGTTTAAATTAGGAAAGTTAAAGGAATAATCAGTGCGAGGGGCCAAGCCATTAATCATATTTATAAGTCCCATTGATTATGTGGAAGAGTTGAAACACCTCCTGACCCGAGAGGTCTGGTGATATTAATATGATAAAACTCGGCAGTAAAACGCCTCAGTGAAGTCAGAGTTCGGTTATCATTTTGATTAATGTGTTTACTCCTTGAAAACCCGCCTTTGTTTACATCTTGTTGTGCAATTTTAATATTTTCAGTCAGACCAAGTTCCTCCACCTGATTAACAAAATTTCCAGTTTTATTACTGCGCCCTAAATTTAGTCCCTGACTAATTAAGAACTCAGGTTTGAGCGTAATTGCAGCTAAATTACTGATACTATACTTATTTCTGTAATTAATAAACCTGAAGGCAAACAAACAGCTACTTCTACTAAAATAACTCTGGCAGTAATATAGCTCTTAGTAATGATTTATTGCTGCAGCACGCTGAGTAGTTCTCAGAGTTTTTTTACACACTCCGCAGATGGAGTGTGGTGTCTTGTCCTCTTCTGGTTTCACCTCATGGTCGTGCTCGTTTTATCTTGTAAGGCCATCCGTTCGTTTTCTAACTATGTCATACAATTCAGCGTCACGGGGGAGACAGAGCCTATCCCACAAGCAACCAGCGCAACAAGGGTACACCCTGTCTAGGAGGGCTCTGACAAACACAGACATGCACACACTCGCTCCAGGGCCAGTTTTCCCAGAAGCCAGTTAGACTGCCAGTACGTCTTTGGATTGTGGGAGGAAACTGGAGCACCCAGAGGAAATCTGGCACAAACTTGGGGAGAACATACAAACTCCACACACACTGCACCCAAGGAACAGAACCCAGTATTCCAGGGCAGCAGTGCTAGCCACTGTACTACCAAGCCTCCCTCTTGTAAGACTGAGAAATGTAGAAAAAATCTTCAGAAAAAAGCCTCTCCCCTGTCCCAGAACTTGTAGTATTTGCCCGAAGTTTTCACTGAAGAAGCAGGTTAGCCCACCCCTGACACTGACCGCTGCGTTTCAAACAGTGTTTTACGGGGAAAAGAGAGAACCGGAACTGGTCACATGCTTTTCAGAGCAAGAAAAAGCAGCTTTCAAAAAAAAAAAAGAGTAGTAAAGGAATTATCTGAGTGTCAATAAAAAGACTTTTTTAAAGACACACTTTTTTACATAAGAGTAAGTTTGAAAAACTCCTATTGAAAGCTCCCAGCTGTCTCCAGGTAGTGGTGCTGGGTAAGCTCATAGGTGTAAGATGGATAGTTCTCTGCTGTGTGACAGTGGCGGGTGGCTGTTGAACAAAGATGGTGCAGGGGGTCAAAGTTGGTGGAGGGGTCAAAGGTCATGCCGAGAGGGACCGGCAACCATGGGGGCGGGGGAGGGGTGCGGTATTCAGTGGCAGCCTGCCTCTCCCCAGCCTTGTTCCTAATTCCTGAATGAACAAGGAACCTGGTTGTGAACTGGGCCAGGACGAGCATGGCGGACTCGGCGCCAGGGCACAGCCAGCTGACTGTGAAGGCTGAGCACTTCGGCCTGTTTCTACCGCATAGGAAGTAAGGAAGCTTAGGAAGTAAACTGCTGAAACTTTTTGCTACACAGCTATTTAAACCCCTCTTTCCATTCTAGATTTCTTTTATTACAATTATAGCTTTATTTATACTCTGCATAAATCTTTTGACACTTACTGCTCTCCACTTTACAGACTTGTTCGCTGTGCTTGAGGAATAGGATATCGATTTGAGTGATAACGTGCTGAGAAAATGTGAAAACATCAAAAGGCTGTCATGTCCACTCCTAAAGCAGTGGTGCTGAAAAAAAGGACCCAAGCACTAAAAACAGCTCTAATTTACTCTGCTTTCGCACATGAGCAATTACTTTCCCCATGCTAGGTCTACATATCTTAGATCCCTTTAATTAAGGGTTTGTTTTGTAGTTGTTGACATCAGCACTGTAAAAAAGTCAGATGGCAAGTCTGAAAGGCGCAGATATCCCTCTCTCTGTGAAGGTATGTGACTTGCTGACGCTGGGAATATTGAATTAAGCTCTCTTTGTATGAGACCGAATGGAGACCCGGCTAACCTACAGAAAAAAGGGGACTGTTTTCACCTAATCAGTTCTGAAATGGGCTGAATGGTGAAGACTGCCTGCGGCTCACCGGCAGAAGGAATGTGACACGAGGCTGACATTTGGCTCTGGAGCTACATGAGGTCAGGAGAGTGAAAGGTCAGCGCAGAGGGTGCTGGTCAGTGTAGACAGACTCTTGAGTGGCTGAAGGGTGTGGGGCACAGGTGGGGGGCCTGGCGCTGAGATCTGCGGCGTCCTCAGCTTCCTGGTTTCATGGTTTCTTTTTCTAGATCACTGCAAATAAAATGAGCATGGGCTGCACGTGCACAGCGATTCAGGACATGGGAATAACTTGCACAGGGGGGGAGGGAGTGTACAGTCAGCAAGCACAAAAGAGTTAGAAATCATTGCTGAAAAAAATGATATTGCAGCTCTCCGACAGCTAAGGAAGAAAGAGAATCCGATTTATTTTGTTGTAAAGAATTCTGCTTCAGTGTATTTATTTTACCTTCACTGAACAGCCAGGGACACTGAGCTCCACGCTTCCACCATGAAAAGGTGTCGGTTTAAACATCAACTGTCATGTTTTGCTTTGGAAAACCTAGAAAGGAGGGTGTAGGATTCACCCACTTGGGCTGCACTGGTCTCTGTGTGTCTCCTTCTCATATACACTGCCTAGGCTTTCCTTTAGGAAAAAAAACAGCATCCAGCCAACACCTATCATTAGCTATTTAAAATCCGGCGTGTTTGAGGACGTGCAGGTTATGAGAGTGTTATGCAGGAGATTAGGACTGGGCTGGGCGGCAGGACCCGTAGAGACGCCGCGGGCCCAGTCGATAGAGGTCAGTGTTTATTGATCCAGTCCGGGGGCTCAGGTCAGCCGGCTCCTCCGGGATTTTGCTTTCTTCCTGCCCCATTTCCGTTCAGCTTCCCAGTCACCCTGTGGCCCGGGGGATGGGATGTGGGGGTAACAGGATTATTGGCAGCACTGTTCCCCTAAACCGTGCTTCTCGAATGCTGTACCACTTTCTTAGAGCTCTGTAAAAGCCACATTCTGACACACAGCACAGTATTTTTTAACCTGTTTTTCTACTGTACAGCTGCTGGCCAGTTATCATATTCTAATCTTGTTATTATTCTTATAGTGTTTAGTGAACCTGACCTTTGCAGTGTCTTAAAAATAAAGGGATATAGGATTAAAATTAGGTTAAAAGGTTGGAATTAGCGTTAATATTAGGAGCTCTGATCCATCCACTTTCATTTTTTTAAGAACATTGAATGAATACAATAATAAAAATGTGCTTTTTTTAATGTGCCTTCAAGTCATTATGATGATAGGTTCTGCATAAACGCATATTGTAAATGCTGTGGCAAATCAGACCTAGTGCGCTCAGTTAGCTGTAAAAAGTATGATAAATATGATAAAATGATACAGGTAAAAGCTTTATTGAGTTCTACACAGACCGAGATGACATTTTAGAGCAGTTCATAGAAAAAAAGGTCACAATGATTACACACAACTAAGCGTGGTTAGATTTCTGGAACTTTGACATCTCTACCCGGGGCAAATTACAATACACATTCGCCTGTGGAATTTCACATCCAGACAACAACCTCACCAAATGGAAAATAAGCCCAGCAAATGCTGGAAGAGTGAACCAGTGAGTTGGAACCAGTGAGTCAGGACGCCACACGGCAAGGAAGGTAGCATTGCCTGCACACCACTTCTGCACCATCAGCAGCCCTCTCCGGCTCGCTTTGATCGACCACCTCAGTCCTGACTGTGTAAAGTCTTTTGTACCCCACACCACCAACAACTTGGGGTTGTACCCCAACTTCCAGCTGTCTGGACTTGTGACAGTGATGCCCAGACCACTGCATGACCAGACAATGGCTGAGAGCCAGGGTGGAATTGTACCTTGCATCATTCCTCCTGCTACATTTGAGTTATTTCTGAGTGGCCAGGCTGACAGTGTGTAGCCATCCTTGCTCTGAGGCATGGTCTTGCATAGCTTTTATAGGCAGTCTCAAGTAGAGACCTGAAAATCAGGTGAGCTCCTCCCAATTAAGTAATCTTTCCAGTGAAGTCATTCAGAGTCCAGCACTGACTACACTGAAGTGTTCCAAAAGCATGAAGCCAGCAAGAACCAAGGCACGTGCCGAGATCCTGGCTCAAGACTCCGAAATCACTGTTAACCTGCAAAAAGAGCATGTGTAGGAATCACACCTTCTTCCACTTGCCGCGGGAGGGGAGAATTTTTGCCAGAAGTATCCTCTTGAATAGCCTACACACTCTTCGTCCAAGAGTACGGCACAGTAATGGGGCACTGATTTAGGGGTAATTAGCCAGTTACTTAATTTTTTTTACAAAAAGAAAAAATAGCCATGTTTAGCTACAAACCTGACAGATTTCATTAAAGTAGTGCTCAGCCTTCAGATCTGTGCTCTGCTATTCATTAGTAAAGTGTCAGACAGGTGCCATGTTCTGCCGTGAAAACTCCCAGCGTGCTGTGTGCTCCCCCTGATCTGCAGCCGGAGTGTTCGGTTAAGGGGAGGCAGATGTGTCAGTGGCCAGGAAGCAATGGCAGTGGGTCAGGAGTACTAATGAATAGCCATGCCGGGATGTTTAATTCATTGAGCTCACCCCCCAGGGGGAAGGGAGCAAGGGAGGATGGGTGCAGTGCTAAGAGCACATAGGGCTGGGGGTAACGAGGGGTTAACCTCGTGCTTAGCGGCTGATGTGCATGTGTAACGCTCTGCAGCCGGGTGCAAAAATAAGCCCTTAGCCATAGGAGAGTAGCTGTCTGAAGACTGCCAGGGAGACGGCGAACCTCGCTAATCAGGATCCTGTCTTAATTAGTCATTGTGAGATTACCCCCGGCAGCCGCGCACCGATCCGACAGAGGGGAGCGGCCCTGTCACCTCGCGTTTGTCCCAGTGGGGCTCGGGCCCCGCTCACAGCGCTGAGCCGCGGGAAAAGGGCCGGAGCAGAAACTTGGCCCTGGTATCGGCACGTTCACTCAAAGAAGCTCCAGTTCAAGCTGCAAAACAGGGATGAGGTTCGGTCGGCTCACGGAAGAATGCTTTCAGTAGTTCACGGCAACAAAGACTTTTTGAATAGAAATGCAAGTAAGAGTTTGCAGTTTTGGCTTTAATGGTTGGGGAAATCCAGGCTTGCAGTTCGTCTGGTCTACAGGCTGTGCACATAAGGGATGATTTTACAGGAGTGTTCCCCTTTTGGATAATGGAAGAAACCGTTAATTTAGAGTTCCTGATATCAAGAAAACCTTTTTGATGGACCACTAGTGCAGAATAGTTGCTGAAAATGCTGCCTGAGATATTTTGACTATTTGTGGTCTGGTGACTGGTTGTTAGTTTTGATAGAAGTTTACAGTATGGTTTGGTGATTCTACCTTGACATTTAATCCAGGGAGTGAAAGCAGGGTTGTGTGCAGCTGAAGAACGGTGACTCGTGCCCCGTTTTCCTCTTACCTATCTCCTGACAAACCCCCTCTGGCTCTGCTGTTGCTAGGTCCCTGGGCGCAGGCCTCGATGTGCTGTGTGAGGATCTGCGAGGAGGAGAGACCCAGAGGAAGAAGAAAAAATTGACCAATCGGAGCTTCGATCGCCTTAACTCAACCCAGGTCAGTGCCATTGAACAGGGTGCCAGTCTCAGCCTGTCCACGCCTGGGGAAATACAACATGCTAAGCACTGTGTCTATAAAAGCACTCTAGCCCTTTACTCTATTTCTGCCATTCAAGGAGCCAGACTAAGCAGCCTTTCACTTTAATTGAGTCTTTCCCTGACTGTTGCATGATATTAAACTCTTCATCCGAGGTTAATCCAGTGCCGACTTTAAGCACTGCTCATCAAACCACTCGTGTATAAAAAACCCGAAGACCTGTTCAAACCTTTAGCAAGTGATGGATCTGCAAAAGTCGAAAGGACTCCTTTGAAAATCAGGAGTGCAGTACGAATGGTCATGCCGGAATTAAATGAGGTAGATTTACACCAGATGTGCATGTACAGAGGTGATTTTTTTCCCAACTGGTTGTGCTTGAGAGAATATGGCATTATAACCGCTTAAGATCTCTCCCATGCCACTGCTTCTTCCCACGCAGATGAAGGCACGGTGTGGTAAGCAGAGTGGCCGCCAGGGGGCGCTCAGCTCCAAGCTGGCCAGGAAGGTGTCGCAGCTGAAGCAGAAAGCCAAAGCGAAGCGCGTGGCCCCAGCGGGGGCCGCGTTCCGGCGGAGAGAGACGCAGACGCCCAGCGTTGCTCCCCCACGGCTGTGTCGAGGCCAGCGGCCCCCCGGTGCAGAGGAGAAGCGGGCGGGCCTGGCTGGGGGCCACACTGACACCGGTAGGCAACAAGAGCCGCTCCTTCCCGAGCACAGGGCTGGGTTGTAGCCAGGACCGCAGGGCTATGCTGTCAAAAAGGCGATTGCTAAGTAAAGGATGGCTCGCCGGCTCTCCAAAGTTAAAAAAGGCATTTAATCATCCAAGTCTTGATCAATCAATGATGTCATCAGTTTACATTGACAGAAGATCGCTGTGGCGTCTGATGCTCAAGCATGACAGCTGAGGCACGTGCTGGGGTGTGCTCCACTCGTGCTGCTGGCTCGTGGAAGCCCTTTCCCCCGTGTGTGAAGCACGTTGCTGCTGTGTCATTCCAGCAGGCAGGGCTGACCGAGCTGCGCCGGAGGGCTGGGCTGGCAGGGTGCTCCTGATGCGGAGGGAGAGGAAGGGGCCAGTCGCTCGGCTGCCACCCAGGGCCAGGAGCCTCCGCGCCGGAAACGGCAAGCCCAAGCAGGAGGCGGCGGAAGAGAAGGAGACATCCCCTTCGGAGAGCGAGTCCTCGGAGCAGGGTGAGCGACGAGGCTGAAAATCAGGCATCTCCCAGCGTGGTGATCAGGGGCGCCTCAGCTCTCTTGTTTCCCCTGGACTTTTGAAATCTCGTCCTTACATGGCATTAGGATCACATTATTCATGCTGATGAGACCGACGTAGGGACCAGAGCTGTCAGTACGTCACTAGTATAGAGTCTCCTCAACCGTTTGTTAATTGCCCTACAAGTTATCTCTTTCACATTTCGAAGGCATGTGAAAAAGTCTCGTCAAGCTTCTTGTGAATGACAAAATGTGTCAGCAGCGTGTTGACATCCGACATGGTTTTGCTGAGGTAGTGTTGCTGCCCTGCCCTGAATGTGAGACCCCTTCTCCACGCACTGGCACTGCAGCAGGGAATGAGAGCTCTGCGCGGCAGACCAGTGTCAGACCGCAGGGCTCCTGCACCTGTATAATAACTCGTAAGAAACTCCGCCAGCGGTTTTCTTACTAGACGGGGGGAAAAAAACATAATTTCAACAAACTGAATCCCGCTGTTCAAATCCCCACAAGTCATTTAAACACTTATGGCAGAAAGATAAAAAGAAAATTGAACAGGCTCACCCAAGAAACAACTGCTTGCTAAATATGCATACCGTTTGGGATTCACAAACTGTTTTCAGATTACCTGTGCTGTGCTTTAAGGGGATTGCTCTGTTCTGAGCAGATTTTTTAAGCAAAGAGATGCTCAGTGTAATTCTTAATTGTCTGCAGTTTCGCACAGGAGGTAAGAGAACTGAGAAAAGGAGGCAGGTTATTCCAGAGAGGACTGTGGGAGATTGGATCAGGCTTCCCCGCCATATTGCTAAAGCTCATATACTCACCTCTTTCAAGAAATCATTTCAGGCTGGATGAGATTCTCAGATTAATTATTTGCGACCACACATGTTAGATGACATGAATAACCTCATTTCATTTGTAGCCTTTCTGATGTTCTTATGACCAACACTGCCATTTTGCTCACTCCACATTGCTGTGTTCTTAACAAACACAAAATGGATGTGCAGCACATTAAATGCCCCCAGCCTAAAAACTGATATCCTTTGAAGCGTCATAACAATTCAGCTGAACAGAGACATCAGAGGTGACTTGTTTCCTGACTGTTCATTTGCTGCTGTTTTGCAGAAGAAGAGGAGGGTAGCTATGACAGTGAGGAAGGAGATGACAACATCAAGGCCCCGCCTTCAAAAGACCCGCCTCCGAGCTCAGCCCTGATTGGTCCATCCCCTTCATCGGTCGTGAAATTAGAAGCCAATCAAAAAGCCAAGAACAAGAAGGAGAGACAGAGGCTTCTGGGTAAGACTGACGTAATAAAAGGCTAAAACAAATGTTGGCGGGTGACATACTTTTGTTGGCTTTTTATTTTCACGTTTTTAAAGAACTATTAAACTTCATACAAAAATTTAAACGATTGTGCGTCTGAAGCCGTTCTTATTCCAAAGTAAGTGAGTTACTAAGTGGGAATGTTAAAATCTAAAATTCGCTCTGTGCTGGGAAAACCGCCCAGGCTTGCTTGTATGCTGTGAGCCTGTGTGCTGACGCTGACGCTCCTGTCTCCCCCTCTCTCTCGCCCAGGGGCCCTGCGCCTGTCGGGGGTCGACGGGGAGGTGAAGGTGAGGAAACGTGGGCCCTGCAAGGCCACCCCTCTCAGTGCAGCGAAGAGGAGGCTGGGCCCCCGGGAGCAGGAGGGGGGGAAGCGGAAAAGGCCCCCCAGGCAGCAGCAGCAGCAGCTGTGGGGGCCGCTGGGCTCTGGGGGCCCTTACCGGCGGGGCGCGGCACCCCACGCCCTCCCCACGCCCAGCGAAAGGCTGAAGAAGGCCACGCGGAAGAGCGGGGGGCTGCCGAGAGCGCTGAGCAAGGTGAGCCGACCTGAGGAGCACCTCCCGGGAGGAGTCGGGGTGGGGGGGTGTTCAACACAGCGACTCTGGCGTTTTGAGTTTCAACCAAATTGGGGCAACAGACCTGAAGTGGGCCGCCCATACAGCTCAGCGCTGTTTTCTGTCGCTGCAGGACAAGGGCGGCTGGCTGGGGGGAGTTCAGTGTGCACGGAGACCAGAGAACGTGAAGGGCAAGAGGATCAGCAGCAAACAGGTGAGAGCACGCGCCTCTCCCAGCCTGGGGCTCACGGACAGAGCAGGAGCTGGGCAGGCTGCTGACCTGTCCGGAGAGCCTCGATTAGCCATTTCTGGAAGGACTCCGAGGTGTCTGCTCCTACAGCACGTCTGAGCATTTCGATCTAGATCCTCTGTGTAAAAGAATGCTTCCAATTTTTAACTTAATGCACGGCCTCTGTATTTCCACATGTGTGCAGATTTCATTTCTGGTCCTGAAGTGGTCCTTTAGGTTAACCTTGTCAGTACCATTTGGGATCACCTGTCTGTTTATTTCACAAAGCGGGGAGTACATCTCCGTTAGTGCAACAGAAATAACTTTGAGATCTGCACAGCATTACGTGTCCGGCTAAGGAACTGCCCCGCATTTAGAGGAACTGCAGGGCTTGCAGAGGTCATTCGAGGAGACCGTGCCAGCAGGTTTGAACTGACCGCTGACCCTCTGCTGTGTCTCGTCTCCTCAGTCCAAGGGCCGTGCGGTCAGTCGTCTGCTGGAGAGCTTCGCGGCGGACGAGGGGTTTCAGATGGACGAGGACACCAGCTTCTCCGAGGGGGACGGGGACCACACGCCCCAAGGGGCACCGCTGCAGAGCCGAAGGAGCCCACCAGGTTAGCGTGAGAGAGAGGGGTCAGGACCCCTGTGGCTCAGCCAGTCTGTTAAACGCGAAGTTAAACGCCTGCTGCTCAAGTCACTGAAGCAGAGCCTTGGGCTGAAGGGTTATCTGACTTTCCTTAAAGAGTTTGCCGAGAGTGGCCATCTGTCTGTCGAGATCCGAGCGCCGTTGCATATTACCTGCCGATAAAATGCCACGCCCACACCTTGTGTGTACAGGGAGCCCCGTGTGCTTATTTGCCGACAGTGAAACAGGGAAGAAGAGCCATACGGAAGGGGAATGGTGACTCTCCCGCCCAGAATAAACTGTGACACTTGTCCCTGTCGCCCCCAACAGCCGTCCCGAACTGCACCCTGGCCAAGGAGCTGCTGGTGGACGGGCTGAAGGTGTTGATCCCCAAGGAGGACGAGCTGCTGTACGCCGCCTACGTCCACACGCTGCAGCTGCCTGACATGTGAGCACGTCCGTCCGCGTGCGGGGCTCAGCTTTCCCGTGGGCACCACCACGGCGGCACCGTTCTCATGCCATTCGCACAACCAGTGGGATATTCAAAGTGGTTTCTGTTGTGAACATTCACAGTTTATATCACCAGCACAAAAGCAGGTTTCTACTTACATTAATGCTCTTAGGTATGTCAATCACATGTCAGTGCTTTAGCAAGGTATTTTAAACCCGTTCTTAAAATCACACACCGGCTGTGGGATGTGTTCTCTGCTTTGCACGTTTCTTAAACCGAACACAGCCTTCGGCTGATTCCGTCTTGACGCTCTGAAAATAAAGTTAACTTTTCCTTTAACCTCTGATTTTGTTGTTGCAAAGTCACGCGAAACAGCATGTTGGGCTGGAGTGTTCCCTTCTCCGAGCACCCCTGAGTGCCCATCCAGCTCCTTCCCCAACGTGGGAAATGAGCAGAAGAACTCGGCTTTGAAAACAAAACATTTTTTTTTCTTTCCCCTCTCAGCTACAGCATCGTGATCGAGGGGGAGAGAGGAAACCGGCCGAGAATCTACTCCCTCGAGCAGCTGCTGCAGGAAGCGGTGAGTTCCACGCCTTCAGATCCATCTCCTTCCCCTTGCTGGCTACCCCCCCACACACACACACCCACCTCTGGAAGCTCTCAGGTGCTCAGTTCTCGGCCGCGCTCTGTGGCCACCCCTAAGACCCAGCGCAGGACCGGTACTACAACACAGGCATGCTGGCGGGGGTGGTAGGTGCTGTCCTCTCGCAATCTGCACAAGTCATTAGAGTTAAACATCTGTTTGTGGATAGATGTGAGTGTGTTTTATATCTTCTTTTTTAATCCCATTCTGAGTGACTGCGTAGGTAACATTCTAACATCTGGATTGAATGATGATCGGATTCGTTTTATGGTTATGGGAAAACGCAGATCTTGTCTTGTTTCTGTCAGCACACCCCTCCTCCCATTTCCACTATGTTGACCTCACACAGTTTATGGAATAAGTCCACAGATTTCAGAGCTGAATCGCCTCTCCTCCTCTCACTGCATTCTTCCCCATATAGCACCAGCAGGTTACACACGGGCTCGTGCACAAAAGCAGTATGAGAAACACTGGCGCACACACCACCACACTCAACAGTGCCAGTGTGCTACCCTAGTTTTTTGGGTTTTTGTGGACTTTCTCCACTCTTATATCCTGTTTTTGCCTATGGGATCATTGTACCGGGCTCCCCTCTCAGGAAAGACAGCACGGGCCCAGGCCTTCTGTGTGTCTTCCTCCTACACACAGCTCATGACTCCATGATTGTTCTGTTCACACTTTCTTCACCAATTACCAGGCAGCGGAACATTTATTCCCAACTTGCTCCATGGTCCATGTTCCTTTGATCTTCGCAAATCACCCTCTATACTCGCTAGTCACCAGGCTGTAGAGTATTCAGTGGACCAGCTCCCATGAGGACCTGAGACAAGCACTAGGCTTGCACAAGGACCAGAGAAGTCAACACGCTTGTACGAACACCAAAGACAGTCAACACAGTTGCACTAGGACCAGAGACAGTCGACATGCTGGCACAAGGACCAGAGACAAGAACACATTTGCACAAGGACCAGAGACAATCATCACGCTTGCATGAGGACCGGAGACACTCAACACTTGTATTCATAGACACAGTCGCTATATCATTTGCTTTCTCATATAATCCCATGGTCTTAAAAAATGCATTTATATTTTGCCATTTATGGTCCAAAAATACAGAATGCATTGTTGGTTTAACAGAGTAATGCAGACACAAACTCTGTCTTGAACACACACATTAAATACAATTAACTCTCAATCTCTTAGTGCTATACTCTTGGTTGTGCATTGCCATTGTGTAAACAGTGTTCAGATTGCAGCTGTTTGCGTTTTATTAATTTGTATATTCTTGTCTTTCAATTTTCTTATCATTTGTTTGCATTTAACACCTTTACATACAGGTCCTGGCCAGAGAGTGCACTTCCCCCTTAGAAGCCTTTTCCAGTACACCATATTTTAACTCGGCTTGAAAGAGCTTCTCGGCTTCTATAAGCATTATGCTCTCGATCTTCCTGCACTGCAGGAGTGCAGCCGAAAGGCTACAATTAATTCATCTGATTTTTTTTTATTGCCTAGTAGGTCTGATTTACACATCCTCATTTCCTGTCTCTTTGAACACTGGGTTGGATTGAATTATTGGCTAAAGATAAGGGCAGAGAGGCACTGTGCCCTGGTGATGAGAGCTGAGTGACTTGACGAGAGTTTAGATTAGAGATGAAGGGGCTGAAATTGTGGTAGAATATTTGTAACTCTCTTCAGCTGTTGTTTCTGTATTTGTGTACGTGTGTTGCTCTTGTATGTGGACTTGTATGTGTGCTTCTGAGTCCATTTTTCACTGACTGAATGATTTGCTCTCGTCTCTTGGGGATTTTTTGTGCTCTTGGTGATTTAATAACAACTAACTAGTTAAGAATCAATTTGATGATTAGTACCATCTCTTGGAATTTAATACCTGGTTTCTGCATTTCTGGCAGGTGCTGGATGTGTGCCCAGAGTCTGAAGCTGTGTTGGCAGCAGGTACCCGAGTCTGTGCATACTGGAGCGAGCGATCACGCTGTCTGTACCCAGGCTATGTGCGCAGAGGTGAGAGGGCACAGAAGGGTGACATTTTATAAACACCCAATGTCTTTAGACTGAGACGTACAGAAAAGATCTGCACTGAGAGGCATTAAAATGCAACCAATGAGTACCGGAACAAACAGCCTCTTGTTCTCTATTACCATCGTTCCATCAGGCAGTATCTGTGTCCATGTTGATCATATCATCATGGCACCCAGATGTTGGGAGATGAGGCTCACACTGTTGTTTCCATGCCCGTTCTGCAGGAGGTCCTGGTGAGGATGAGAAGGAAGGCAGTGTCATGGTGGAGTTTGATGATGGAGACAGAGGACGGATCTCCCTTTCCAACATTCGCCTCCTGCCACCAGATTACCAGATCCATTGTAAGTCCCTGCCCTCTTTCTCTGTGGCTGCCACATTCCTTCGCCGGGACGAGATTTATCTTCTCGTAAGCTCATGCCATTTGCTCCACTTCTGCTCTTGGGGAGTGGGGTGACTGTGGATTGACACCTAGTCTCTCTGTGTACAGGCACAGAACCATCCCCGGCCTTGCTCATCACCAATGGGTCTCGCCGGTGCCGGAAGAGCACAGCAGAGAAACCTGCGCCAAGTGACACGTCTTCAGAGAGGCCCGAGAACAACGAGAGGACACGGAGCCCAGAGAAGAAGACTGCCACAAAGGCCAAGCCAGGTAAACAGGCTCTCCTGTCTTTTACCCTTAAATGAGGAGACAAAGAGGGTTTCATTCCCCATTGCGGAGCTAGAAATGTGGACATTCATGTAAACCCCATGACTTTAGTATTCTTAAGAAAATGAGCATCTCCTCATCTCTTTAGTTTTTCTACTGGGGGGCTTAGCATTCTGCACATGATAGGTCTCATGGAAGGGTTCTGTGCCACGTCCTGTCTCGTGTTAGGTTGTAAAGGTTTCTAACAGGTTCTAACAGACTAGCAACCCTCACGGGAGCACTTTTTAAGAAATCGCCTCTCATTCTTGCATTTCCTTTTTCGTTTCAAGGCAAACCAAAAACCATCAACTCAGGGACAAAAAGTCCAGTGTCAGAGGGCCCGTGTAAGACTAGCACGCCGCTCCTTGGTTGGCCTGCTGTGGCAGTTCCCAAGAAGAGGACTCCTCACAACCTGTTCCAGCTCAACGGGACCCCAAAGAAAACCCTCAAGGGCAAGGAGGCTGATGTCTTCCCCCTCCTCACTGCCCCAGCAGCTGCCCCTGCCAAAGGCATCTTTAGCAGCTCCTTTGAGGTGGACTCCTTCAGCAGTATCGCCAATGGATACTCACAGTTTGGCAGCCAGCCCTCCATGATGTCACTTAGCCCCAGGGACTGCACTCCTGCCAGCAGGGGCAGGAAGCCCAGTGAACCAGGACTTAAGGGTAGGAAGGCAGGGAGTGCAGAGTTTCTGGTCAAACTTGACCATGAGGGGGTGACGTCTCCCAAGACCAAGAATGGGAAGGCTTTGTTGCTCCTAGGGGCCCCAGGGCACGGCAACAGAATGGAGAAGGCCTTTGGGGCCAAAGTAACGGAGATCTCCTCGCCTATGGGATACTCCCACCCCATCCTTCTTGTCAAGGACAATAAGAAAAGTGGAAGCACCAGGGCAGAGCTCCTGCTGAAAGGTGCCACACAGCTACGCAAACCTTCTTCTACCCTGGGCCTGGGGGAGTACACCGAGTTTGGGCTGAACTGCCACAGTGACTGCCATAGCTCGTACTCTGACATGGACGAGGAAGATGAAGAGGAAGATGAAAGGAGGGCCGCTCTGGCTGCAGCTTCAGGAGGCCTGAGGACAGCGGGGCGCTTCCTCTCCCGGCTGTCCGTCTCCTCATCTTCATCGGGATCCTCCAGTTCCTCCAGCTCTGGTTCGCTTTCCAGCTCCAGCCTGTGTTCTTCTGACAACGACTCTTCCTACAGCTCAGAGGACGAGGAAGGTTCCACACTGCTACTGCAGAGCTGCCTGTCATCCCATCATGCTCTTCTACAGCCCCCCGAGCCTCCCTCTGGCCCATCACAGCGATCCTTTGTGGCCAAAGCCATGGCTGTCCCTAGCAGCAAGGGCGGCGGCAACAACAGCACCAACAAACCTCTGAAAAGGAAAGAGGTTCCCAGAACTCCCTCCTCTGTCTCCTCAACCAAAAACCCTAAGGATCTGGCCAAAAGACAGAGGCTGCCGTCCGTTGACAACCGACCCAAGATCTCGGCTTTCCTGCCAGCACGGCAGCTCTGGAGATGGTCTGGGAACCCCACCCAGGTGAGGCATCACAAGTGCTCCATAGTGCCTGAAATCACCGCTCAGTGGGACACCATTCACCCTAAGCTTCCTTTGTGTTGCAGAGACGCGGCGTGAAAGGCAAGGCGCGGAAACTGTTCTACAAGGCCATAGTCCGCGGCCGGGAGACGGTGTGCGTGGGCGACTGTGCAGTGTTCCTCTCTGCTGGCCGGCCGCACCTGCCCTACATTGGCCGCATCGAGAGCTTCTGGGAGTCCTGGGCCAGCAACATGGTGGTGAAGGTGAAGTGGTTCTACCATCCCGAGGAGACCAAGTTGGGCAAGCGACACCGGGATGGGAAGGTAAGACCACATCCCAGGACGTACCGGAGGCTTCCTGGGGCTTTTGACACATTTCAGGTGTCTTAGTTGCCAGGCGTCGAGTATGTGAGTGCTGGTTTACAAAAAGGTTTTAAAATTACGAACAGCATATCTGGTGATCTGACAGTTCCCGAATCGGGGTAATCATTCCTGAAACTTCAGGTAGATAATGGCCAAATTTGGAAAAATCATGAAAAATCATGAGGGGTATGCCTTGGTATGTTTGTCTTCCATGTGCGATGGTATCAGAAGCAACACAGGCACCCCACATGATGAGCATGGCCACAGAGATTTAGAAAACATGGTTCTGTTCTCATCACCATTCTTCATACATAGTCAAGTGCTGAAAGTAAAACTAAGACCCGTCTTTCTCTTGCCCCGTTCCAGCATGCCCTGTACCAGTCATGCCATGAGGATGAGAACGATGTTCAGACCATCTCCCACAAGTGCCAGGTAGTGAGCCGGGAGGAGTATGAGCACCTGAGCCGTGGCAGGAAGCACAACAACAGTCAGGACCTCTACTATCTGGCAGGGACCTATGACCCTACATCTGGTCAGCTGGTCACCGCTGAGGGCGTATCCATCCTCTGTTAGTGGTACCGTTCAGGCTCCTGACATAGCTGCTGAAGGATCTGTCCCAACTGGTCAACCTTGGATTAACAGTCCTGAAAGTGGGCATTGCAAAAGAGCACTGGGGATCGTTGTGTCAGCACTTGAGGTGTATCAGTCTTGTTCATTCGTCTGAACGTCTAACGTTTTGAGAGGGCGCAATATGGATGTCATGTGTGTGTGGCCACACAAGCTAATATCTGAGCATGACTACCACTTCCCCACGAGCGACTACACCTGAGAACCATGTTAGAACAGCACAGCCCAGCCGTTCTCCTCATCCGCACTGGGCAGAAGTGGGCACCTCAGGACGTCGCAGTAGGTGGGGCTGTTGCAGCCAGCGGCGGGCAACAGGAACAGCCCGGCCTCTAGGATTCAACCCAGGGATGACAGCGTCCAGGACTGACCTTCCTCCTGGCAAGTAGCTGAGGGATTCAGCCAGATTCTTGAGAATGAATGGCTTGTGTTCGTGACGCAGGCGGTTTTCCATGAAACCAGTGAAGCACCAAGGGGATGCAATGAAGCATTTACTGTCATACGTTTAACCATGACATTTAACACTCCTCCTGCAAGAATAAATTGCTCTGAAAATTTCCTTTAGGAAAAGATGCAAGATCAAAACTCTTAGTTTCTCGGGCAGACCGGGGTTCTGTTGCCGGCACACCTGACGGCTTTTTAGAAAGATTAGCATTCGATTTGACCGGCACTAGCACTTCTCAGACCCTGGCTTGGGTATTGCACCCTGGTAGCTAAAAGTACCCAAAGTGCACTTCAGTTGCAGGTGATGTGAGTCCTGAATCCTCACCAGCAAACACTCGGCCTCCGCCCCCTGCCTGGACACGTTGTACTGTTTGTCTGCATCGCAGCAGGGGAGAGATCATCAACACTCAAGGTTTTGGAAACATGCTCCGCGTGGACAGCCGCACAAGACTCTCCAAGCACCCGACTGTACACTGGGCAACTTAATGAAGAAGTACCTGTCATCTCATCCTCACACGCCGCAGCGGAGGCATGTCCGTTTGTGTGTCGGATCTGGCTCCCTACATCTTGAGCATGAGAGAATTAGGCCTCTCGCGCCAGTAGCCCGGTTCGGAGACGCATGATTTCTCCAGCTGAGGTCTTGCCGTTTTTAGGGCCGCTACCTGTAATCAAGGCACTGAGCAGCATCACCAGGAGCTTCTGTGCGGCGCTGTGTTTCTGACGCCCTCCGGCCTGTAGGGCACAGGCTTGAGCACATTAAGTTGCCAGGAGTCCGTTGTGGAAAGAAAATAACATGTGCTGAAAGGGCATGTAGAGAGGATTGAACTGGTCTGAAATGGACCATTCGATACAGGCTAATCTCCAGACCTCATTTAGATGTTTCCAGGGATGTTTTTAAAGAGACGTAAATATATATAAATATATAAATATTTTTTTTAAAAGAAAGGAATGATGTTTCCTATCAAGCCATACACTACAGTACCTCTGCCTGTCATCTGAATCAGGTGTAAACTGTACAGGTCAATTATCTCTGTGTGTATATATGTATAAATAGTATCTGGAAAATATAATTTCACTTATAATTTTTTTTTTCCTTGATTGAATGAAAGATTGGTGATTTTTTTTTTATTTTGCCGTTCTTACGAAAGTTATAAATTAAAAAATCTCGGTATAAAACCCTGCACTGTATGAGTCCTGCTGAGGTGGGGGGCATTTGTGAAATGTTCTAAATGGTTCAGAAGAAGGAAATAAGGGTGGTTTATCGGAGCGCTCTTATAAAGGTCAAATTAGGTTATTTGGACCATTCTCGTTATGTACCTGCTTCATTTTGTTTTGTGCAACAGAAAACGAGTGTCTTTTGAAATGTATTTTATTTCCAAATGGCCGTGCTGTATGATCAGGAAATCGTAGACTACTGCCTAGGAAACTAAAGCAAGCTCCAGTGGGACCCAGGCGGCTGGTGGAGAGTGGGCAGGAGTCTGGCTAGGGAACTCCTTCGCTTGCACTCCTGCCTCTTCTTCTCTGTCGCACAGGGCTCGTTACAGCTCAGCGCGTCCTCTCGGAGCTCAGGGAGGGCACCCAAGGCCCGAACCCTTCTCGGGGTCTGTGGGTTTGTCCTTGGTCTCCCACAGCCCAGACTGCTGAACTGCGCGAAGCTGGGTGGCAGTGGTGTGGTGTGGATTTCTGTGCATGAAGGCACTGGGCTGAAATAAGCGGGCTCACGCCACATGCAGCCCGAGGCAGGTGTGACCCCTCCGGGCCACAACAGGGGTACCGCTGTACAATCTGTCACTTTAACTCCTGCACCTCCAGGCCCCCTGATTTAAGAATAGCCTTCAGCAGTCAAAAGCTGTCTTTTATCATGACAGGATCCAACAGAATCGGACGTGTTCGTCTGGCAGCCTAAATTCTTTCTGAACCTGCTTCCCAAGCCTCGTGAAAGAGTGAAATTTTAAAACTTGCAAAAAGAACAACAGTTCAACACTTTTTCCTCCACAAAATGAAAGCCTGAACTATTACTCCAGGTTTAGTGTTTGCTGCTAAGGGTCACAGTGAATTAGAGATGTGTTTAGAGATCTCTTTTCTGTGAAGTGTTAAACTACTTCATGCAAACAAATGATTCTTAAGACATTTCCTGATTAAGCCCTTCCTGCTGTTTAAAGCTCACTGATAAAATACTAAAAGAAACTTAGTTTCTTACTACTTGTTTGAAAATTAGGGGAGTGTAGCTGATACAGATCTTAATCCTCTGAAACTGTTGTTAAAAATTAAAATATATCCATTTGTTTGGCTTTTAAAACCAAAGGACCTTTAAGGGTTTTATAATTTCCTTTTTCACATCGTGTTTTAAACATATGAAATCAATTGAGAAATCGTTGTTCCGGGAGCCTGCAATTGAACTTTCGAAGCAGTAGAAGACAGTGTGTGACAGTATGTGGTCTTGTGTTGTAAATGTGTGTGACACACAGCACCACATGTGCACAGACACACACCAGAAGCACTTGGAGGCCTTTCTGGGCCTTGCTCATGGTACCTGTGAAGGACAATCATATTATCGCAAGAAGGCAGTTGGAGAGGTTCAATCAAAATGTTACCAGGTCACATTTTTGCTTTTTGCCAAATACATTTTTTTGTTGTTGTTGTTGTTGTTGTTGTTGTTGTGTCCTTGTTAATGTTGTTGTTGTTGTCATGCAATATGCAAGCCCATATTTACTGCGCTGATCACTGTCCTGCTCAAGGTAAATGTTTATATCAGCTCGTCATTGACGGATTTGTTTTCTGCTGTTGTTGCTGTTACTTTGCAAAATCAATAGCTTTAAAGAAAACTGGTGTGGGGCAGATGATGTCGCTTTCAAGCACATCTTCTCCAATGAAAGGAAAGCCTGTTTGAAATCTAAAGCCCATAGGCAGGATTTTCAGGCTGTGTTTACCCAAATTAAGCCTTTTCTCAGTCATGGACAAAACTTTCCAGGGGGTCATTATGAGTACAGTAATTTCCTGAAGCACTAGTGCCGGTATTAATGTTGAGGCCATCAAATTGATGTAGGTGTTTTAAATGTGTGCATCTACGTCGCCTTTAGCCTTCTGTGCAACACACCCGTACAACATTTAAGTATTGTATACATTGTACAAAGAATTTCTGAGAAATCATCACACAAAGCACGGTAAAAAATTAATAGAAACATTTACCTTTTGCATTTGTATTTCATTACTTTCATCACCACACAATTCATCAAAAATTTGATTTGAAAGTTTCCTCAAACCTGTGCCCCCTGACAGTCCTCTGAAAAGCAGTGGTTATATGACTGGATGTGTCCCTGGACCTAAATCAGATCAGTAACAGTACAGGAAGACAGGAATTCTAACACTCCTTTCATATCTCATGTTGGGTCAGCACAGGAAGTGACATCATCCCACACCAGCTCATAACCCCACCCCCATGGCTGCTGTGATCCTGGGGTGGATATGGTTATTAATATGGTTTCAAAGGTTATGGAGTAATAAATATTAAATCTGTTTTTTGATTATTTATCTTTATTTTATTGCCTTGCATTGCATTTAATTAAAATTGCTATGGTGTAGCTTCTAAGCAGTTTGGTTTAAATTAATGTCTATGTATATGGCTCACATTGTTTTTTTAATATATTGTATGTTTTAAAATGTTCTTTGTTAGAAGTGGAGGTGGGTACTTCCAGTGGTTAACGGGATCTCTTCAAATGACCTGTGCTTGTACTATGAGTTTTGAAAATGGGAAGTGGAGCTTTTCTTTCAAATATTTCAAGCATTAACTTTACTGTAGAAAAAAACATTTATAACACAAAGACTTTTATTATTGTTCTGTTTTTTTTTCCCATTTCCCAAAAAAAAACAGATTCTGTGATTCTTATGTAGAAGACCACTACAAAATGCATAACACTTCTCCACATTGAAATCCAGAGTCAAAATTCAGTAACAGTAGTTATACTGTTCGTCTTTGACAGGTTAACGAGATTGCTTGAAATTCTGGCTGTAATGTATATAATGATATTCTTTGCTGTATATTTCTGTACCATACAAAAACACTGTAAATCTGGGAACCTAACAGTTTTTTTCCATGTGGCTGTAAGATCTGAGGAACAGCTCTGAACAGTTGTTTTTGTTTTATTTGTGTGTGTTTTGTTAAACTTGTCACAGTGCATTCTGGGACTCTTGGTCCTGTATCTCTTAAAATGAAAGACACTGGCCAAAAAGTTGTGAATGTACTGAGATCGGGGAGTGAAAACTAACTTGTATATAAACTGTGATCTTTTCCGAGCTGTGTCTGAGATCCTGGAGCCACGTGGTGACTCAAAAGCCTTATAGTCTATAGAGGTTATTGAATTCACTTGATTGCTTAAGTGTATCTGCATCTCAGTTATAACTGACTTGTTATTATTCCTGCTAATATGAAGGTCAGACTGTTCCTGGTTAGGAGTTGGGAGGGGGAGAAAACTTGCCTCAAAAGAAAGCAAGCACGAGCAAAAGTGTGCATTTGCGCAGGTATGCGCACATGCACAAGAGAGAGGAAGTGATGTCATCATTAGGAGACAGGCCACTCTCTCCAAGGCGCAGGTGCAATACTACTACAATGTACAGAACTGCATTAATATTCAGCAGTTAGACAGCATTTAAGAAAAAGGCTTATTAGCCAAAAGAAGGGACAAGGGGGACGCAGGATCGTTTATCCTTGTGCTCTCTTTATTTAAATCAGCTATCATTTAAGAGAATAAAAGAGGTAAGGTTTAAAACGTGTACCTAAAATACAATTTTTCTCAGAGTTGCTAAGTAAATATTAAGATATTTTAACACTGATTTAAAAAAAAGATTTTTAATTATGAATATTGTTTTTTTTTGTTTCATTTCTTTTTTCAGAATTCAAAGTCTTTTTTTTTCTAATTGTGTTTCCATGTTGTAAAGACTCTTGTAAATGTGTAAAGTATGACTTTTGTTTTGATTTTTGATTTCGGAGTAAACATAAAAAAAGATGGAGTTTATGAACATCAAACTCTAAGTAAAAGCATTTTAGTATTAAGATTTTTATAGATGGCTTATGAATAAATATAAGAAAAAAATACATGTTGTATTCATTTATTTTAGAAAAGCTTGAGTTTTGAGCCAAAACTGACTGGACTGTACTGGTTGTGGGTTTGAGTTCCCAATGCAGACTGCTGTTGTGCCTTCAGTAAGGTACTTTACCCCAGTTGCTCCAGGACACCCTGTGGTTTCAGCACCCCTGGGGTGGACTGGGGGTGTCTTGTGTGCCCTGATGACTTCACACCTAGAATCCGGGACGAGTGTCACTCAAACATCATCACTGCCTGCCTCCCTGGGTGACTGTTGTGATCACCTGAATCCAAGGTGATCAGTTTATCATTTCGAATTCATGAACACCCTGTTGCTCTACATTTTAAGTCACCTTCAAATAATGCTAGAATCTTCCCTAACTAAGTAAGCAGCATGCTAAATGCCAATGTTTTGACATGACGGCTCAGTGAAGTGGTATCACTTTCATTTAATATATCAGAGTCAAGCACTGCAAGTTAGCATTTACTCATCTACAAGGAGAGTATAATCTCCAGTCTTTAAATTATCGAGATAACCAATAGACATTGGAAGTAGGCTGTGGTCTTTTCAAGACACATTCCTTGTCTGGGGCGTTATGCATCTCAATATCAAGTGGTGGTGCTGTATATTGGTGGTGGTGGAGGAGAGTCCCCATTACCTGTAAAGTGCTTTGAGTGGAGTGTTCAGAAAGTGCTTTATAAGTGTTAGGGAATTATTGGTTTTATTACTACTACTTTACCTGGGGCCTGCGGTATATAATCACTACCACAAAATGAAAGCCTCAACCAAATGATAATCCACTAGCTGTTGTCTGGGGTTTAATACAGTTCGGGTCTGTGCAAGTCGTGACTTGAGCTAAAGTTGGTCAGTCTGAGACGTGCCGTAAGCCGAAACCTGCAAGTGTACGACATCAATCACCAGATCTCTAGAGCACCCCCTGTACATTACAACAGGCCTCAGGCACTTTCCAGAAACTCTTTAGACATCTTTTAGGAGCAGATGTCAAAAGTAAACTATGAAAGAGGCATCAAGAAGTCAAGCACAGCACTCACTTGGAGACAAGTTCTGTGCAAAGAGGAGGTACTATCCCTTGCACTTGAAAGTAAGCAATTGTGTGCTACTGTATATTCTTTAAGGTTATGGAGAGCTAGTGGAGGTTCAACGAACCAGTAGGTATGTGGTTTTGGGTCCCAGAGTGTTCACAGTTCTGGCTGAGCTTGGCTACAGTGCTGAACAGTGTGGTATGGGGTGGGGTGACTGGGGAGCACATCAGTACAAAAGCAAGGCTGGGGAAAGACAAGCCTCCTATTAAACTCACTTCACTCCCACTCCAGCCAGGCCCGGGCTGTGCTGTGTCAACAGGGCTGTGCTCTCAGAGGGGGCTGCCCTGTGCAAATACCTTCACCTCATAAACGTCTTGGCCTCTGAATGACCCCGTCTCGCCTGAATGGCGGGGGGGTGGGGTTCTGAATGAGGTGTGGGTGGTGATGTGAAGAAGGCAAACAGACCCTTCCAGAAGTGTCTGGGTTTAAAAAGGATTCAAAAACTCATTCATCATTGGCTGTTAATCAGCTGACAGGTCGCAAACCTGCCTCTCTGCTGAACCCAGAGCAGAGTGGAGGGAGGGGGGCAGCACAGCCATCTTGAACCTCCGAGGGACAGCTCATCAACATCGCCAGCTCCATTCAGTGTGACCCGACAGCTTGTGCCCAGCGGTCTCATTTCAACTGCTCCTAGGCGCTAGAAACTCGGAACACAAAACCAATGCCGATTTTTTTTAATTGGATTGGTCGAATTCAACAGTCTAAGTTTAACGTGCCGAGTAGCGCCGGCAACACAAACTGTAGCTCTAATTACCTGCCAGGAGTGCTGAGGATACTAAGGTGTGGTTTTCCACAGACCAAACCAGGTATCTCCAGCTGTTGAAAGCCCGTGTTTCTCTAAAGGAAAAGCTCTATTATCTGGAACATTAAACTAATCGGAAGAGATGAAACCTCTCCTATAAAAAATCTCCGGATCAGAGCCGGCTGCCCCTGTCCCAGCCATACTGGTGGCAGGCCTGTGCACAGGAGGAACTCTCTGAGCGAAGGCAGATTCACAGCAGAGGAGGGGGGCGGAGAGAAGTGGCGGTTGTTGCCAGACAGAAAATACAGCTGTAAATTGGCAGCTCCACCCCTCCACCCCCCCTCTCCTCCTCCCTCCCTTTCTCCCGCTAAAGCCCTCAGGTGATCTTTAATGGCTTCCTCTACGTGTTCCCAGCTCTCAGACATCACGGCTTAATTTGCCTGCTGTTCGAGTGCAGCCATTCGAACGACGACACAAATATGTTATTAACGTTCCACCGCCTCGCCGCCCCCTCCAGACTCCCCCGTCCCCACTCCTTCCTTTCCGCCACTGCTGTTGTTATTAGACTGTAATACTATTTTGCTGTCATTTATAAGCCACTGTAAAAAGGACTAAACGCGTGCTTTTATGCGCGCAAGGCAGCCGAGACCATTTAAATAAAATGTGTTCTGTCTTTTTAAAAGAAAAAAAAAATCAAACACTTAAAAATATATTTATATATAAAATGGGGGTAAACAATACAAAATCTCTTAATGTGCAGCAATTTCTTTCCTGCATCATTACCACATCTAATTTATTAGACAGGCAACAGGATAAAGAGTTTATTCTTGTGCTCATCTGGAATCTTCAGAAAACTACTGTAAGAAGCAGACGTTTAAATATAAGCAGATCTAGTCGAAGGATTCAAACTCATTTATCTGTGCGAGATATAATTTTAAGGATTCCTAACCACTCTGAGATGTACAAAACGACATAATTCATCTGCAAGTCAGCATTCCTTGCATTATTCGTGTCAATTCCTTTGACTTCAGTTCTTTCTGCCCACAGGCCTCTCACCTGTGGGTTAAAACACATTTTGTGGGGAAACAGCCCCTTTGTCCCATCCCTCAGGGGGCATCGTTTTGTAGCATCAGCTTTCCTATTCAAAATAAATTTCACCACTGAGCAACATGAGTGGGGGGGGTTCGAATGCTGTACCATCAACTCCCTCCCTTTTAATTAATAGATGCAATTTGCCTGTGTGTGTTACTTCTAATTCAATTTCACATCAAGGATTAAATCACATTCAGCCTGGTCGTGCCATCTCCTGACAAGCACAGGTTTAAAGCTGGGCTTCATGTCCGCTATTAAGTTGGAACATCCCCAGATAATGATTAGAAGGCATAAGGTTTATAACAGGAAATTTTAAAGCCAGGTGTGGTACAGACCATATAGTACATTCAAGAGAAACATCCCTAAGAGATCAACACCCAATGTGTCGACTGTTAGCTCAGATACAACCACATAGGCAATGCAGCACAGACCACAGGACTGTCCCTTCATTCTCTCTATAAAGCAGCAGCCAGAAGAAAAATGTAATATGTTAGGTGCTGACTGACGCAGACATTTGGGTCCACCCAGCACTTCTTGGTGGGGCTAAGATCCAGTGATACAGCAGGGTTTTCTTAAGCCAAACCATGCTACCTACCACTAGACAAGATGCTGCAATGTATATGTTCCCTGATTGATGCAGGGTGTTGTGAGCGGCCCTGTGAGAGGTTAGGGTAGCGCTGAAAGCAGATTACGCAATTACATTGCCTCTGGAGTTTCTGTGACAAGAGGACCCTGTGCAGCGAGAGTACTGTTCACGTTGGCATTAGTGATCCGCTGCACCAAAAACTGACTTGTCTGCACCCCTCTCATGCATGTGTGCTTCACAGGAGCACTGAAGCAGCACTTCTCTTCACATGCCCTGTCACGCTTGGCAGACACAGGAGTTGATAAAAAATGCCACCCGATTCGACAAGAGGTATCAAAATTTCTCCATCAATCCATCCATTTTCTAACCACTTCTTCCAATTCAGGAGCTGGATCCTATCCAGCCGGATCCTATCCGGGTAAGTAATGGGCTCAAGGCAGGTTACACCCTGGATGGGACACCAGTTCGAGAGCAGATAGCCAGAAACATTGTACATTGTACCTGCCATGTGAACTGAGCTTACCACATCCTTGCTAACATGAATACTTCACCATTTATGGAAATGATCTTCTTTTCTAACTGCTTCATCCAATTCAGGGTCGCAGGGGATCCGGAGCCTATCCTGAAAAACAACAGGCGCAAGGCAAGGTACACCCTGGACAGGACGCCAGTCCATCACAGGACAAACGCACTCACACCGGTGCCACTTAACCTACAAGTGTGTCTTCGGACTGTGGGAGGAAACCAGAGTACCCAGAGGAAACCAACACAAGCTTGGGGGGAACATGCAAACTCCCCACAAATAGTACCCCAGGTCCAGAATTCATCCCAGGGCCCCTACAAGGCAACAATGCTGACAACTGCATTTCACTTCAGATTGTGAAGTGACCGCATTTAATTCCAAGAGCTCCATATGTATGGGACTCCATTTAAAGGTAAGATATGGGTCTCCTTGAGACCCTGTTATTGTCATTTGTTTTTTAGCTTGTAAACCTATTCTTTTTATTGTTACTACAACTAAAGGGTTTTGTACCACAGCTCAGACGATCATCAAATGTAGGACTTGAATGCCATTTTGAGAACTTTTTTGATATGCTACTCCAATTTTCACCAGCTGTGCTTTCAGCGACTGCACCATGTTGTTTAGGTTTTAATAATGTTCGGACATTATTGCATTTTAAGTTGCTCAATGAAATCAGTTCGCAGAAAAGGTCTTGAAAGTCTCAATCTCGGTGAGGGGGAAG